CCTTAGTAACCCCCGTAACTAAGAAAAAATCGGAAACACTGCTCCAATGCATTTTTTACGAAATGCCCAGGCGGGATATTGATACATTTCATTAAGGAGGCGTTGATTTTGACGGTAACATGTGATCTGAAAAGTACAGATTTCTTAGAAAGGCTTAATTACTAGGTTATTAAAATGACTTGTCTGAGGCAAAACCAATTCATTTATTCTCTTTTGTTCATCGTGTGCGGTTCAAGATGATGACAATACAAACTTTAGTGTACTCGAAGATACAAATTTATTCCAACTTTGATTTTTTATTATTAAAAGTTTTGCATATCGATGCATATTTGGCATATATTCATTCGAGCATATTTCTTAATATTTTGTGCATATTTTTGTGAAAATACGTGCGTATACAGGGTGCGCCCCAGAGAAAAATGCCATATAAGGAACATGGAAAAAATGTTAAAAAAAATTTGTCTATAAAAATTTCGAAGTTATGAGGGTATAAACTTTGCACTTTGACTCTATTTATTTCTGTTGGAAAAATAATTTTCTATTTTTTTTTGCTACATGCTATTAAAAGGGGAAACAAGGACTTCTTTTCAGTTCTTTTTCTTTTTTTATTAAAGTTACTCATTAATTAAAGTTTTTTTTATCAAATCTGAAGTTTTGTTTGTCATCTTAGGATGACGAAAATTACATTTTTTGGGAAAACTCGTGTTTTATCCTTTTGAAGGTGAAAGAGGCAAATGAAAAAATATTAAGCAAGACACGGAAGAAGTTCTCATAAAAATTTCAGTTTTTAAATCCATTTACAATGACCAGGAATAATAGTAGAAGCTTAACCTCGTCATCTTACTTGCCCTCCACTATGTCTTGGTTTTTGATTTTTTATAGTGTGTCACTTTTGCAAAGATAGCAGCTAGTAAACGAGAGTTTTTAACTTAATTAATTATTGTCTGGAAGTGCTATCTGAAATAATGTTTGCTGTAAATACATTCTATTCAGTTTTTCCAACGCCTCGCTCGGTATTTTGCTCAAATTAAATAATTTTAATGCGATTACGTTTAATTAGAAAATAATTACGCGTATAACAAAGCACTCTCGTTTCATATCACATGAACCGAAAAATCCGAAGGTAATGGCAATGACTCCGGCAGTGGCACCATTTTCGAGTTTGTAATCCATGCAGCCAAGGGAGAGAGTGATTTCGTTGTAATTCATTCCCTCTTCAAGTTCGCCTAGCATATATTTTGCAATTTGAATATACAGCTCTACTCTTTGTAGACCGTCGTTGAATTTAAAATTTAATTCAAGAGCCAATAAATCGGAAACCGGAAATGTTCAAATTAGATTGCCAACAAAGCACCAAAAGAGACGAAATCTGAATGGGCTGATGGATTTCAAGTTTGATTGCTGTTAACTTTTGCAAATTAAACGATTCGACTAAATTTGTGATGTGATAAAGTGAATAAGTAATAAAGCTTTGACTGCAAACTGGGATTTTGTACGTGAATGTACACAAGCCCATTTTAACGGATTACTAAGCATTGCTAATGCATCAAATGCACCAAATGACCGGCGAAATGATGGACGAACTAAACTAACTCTGACGCAAAACAAATCGCTTGTGGCCATTATAAGCAAAGCTTGTTTTAATTATTAACAAGTAAAGGGCTTATAACTAGTACATGCATGTAAATACTATTGAAAAACGCAGCTTATTGTTCCTGCAATAACTTTATATAAAAAACGCAACAAAATAAATTGTATTTCACTGGGAATATTAATCAAATTTTTGTTGGTAATTTTCTGGTAGATTACATTAATTTGAAATTAGCCATTAAACCGAACGTAAAAATAAATTTTGTTAGATTGATCAATACGGCTTAAAAGCGGTATAAATTCCCCCTGACATTAATAGTTGAAGAAAAACATCGCAACATCAACCAAAAATTAATCCTCACCGGAAACAATGGTGAGTTTAGTCGTTTCGGCTCCGAAGCGATCATTAAAAAATCTTTTCGCTCCATTAGGTTCTTGGAATAATTTCTGAGAATGAATTGCAAATGGTGCGTGTAGGACGAGCTGCGGCAGCCACCGCAGTCTCATCATCAAACGCACCATCCCCTAATTATGTAAAACGGATGATTAGATTATAATTAGGGAAACGCACGGCAATAATGGCGATACGATATGCTAAGGGTATGGAGAATAATGGACAAAAAGACTTAACGCAGCTAAGGTTGAACACTAACGAGTTTTCAACAAGAACCAGCTTTGAAGTCAATTCGACAACACACCAGCCCAGCGCGACTGGAAAAGCCCCTGGGGAAACGCTGAGACCGTCGTTGCTGCGGACGAGTTATTTCCGGAAGCGATGACGGACTGGCTTTTCCGTCAGGAGGTTGTGAACGTACTGGGTTTTCCAACATATTTGCGACACAAGTCATAATAACAACGAATTCGTATACACTTGGAAGAGGTGATATGCAAAAGAAGCTTGTTTTTGAATATAAAAAAAGAACAGAATTTAAATATTTAAAATACTTTTAACAATTAAGCAACCATGAATTTTTGATACTTGCTTTGCAATAATTTTTTAATACACTATTTTATAAATACGTATTATACAAAGTCCGCCAGAACTTGCAACTTACCAGATAACAATTTTAAGTAAGACAAGATACCAGGAGCATGGAAAAAGTTCTATCTATCAAAAAATTTTGACATTTATTTTTTGACATTTGATATTTTTTATGTCTATTTAATGATACTGATGAACTTGTATATGTTTTTTTTTGTATACGCTCCCGAAAATAACTGTTTTAGGGACTCATTCGAGTCCTTAAAATGAGTCTTTTCCGGACTCAATAAAATAGTACGCAAAATGGTTATTTTAGGTACTAGTAAAAAATAAAATTGGTTACTATGGTAACGAAATTTTTTTAATTAGTAAGAGGTGTGAATTCGTGTATTGGGAGCTTTAACAAAAAAATCTTGTATGCACCACGAACGCAAAAGGTTTTAGGTAACTCCTCTCATTAAAGAATCGGCTCCTACGTCGCCTCGTCATTAATTACGATTCGCCTCCTAAAACCCTATTTCCAACGACCATATACGAAACTAGATCATAACGCACAATTAGATATGCGCGAAAATTGACAATATCGTACGAGGTCGAAAACCTGTGCGATTTGTTTTCGCACTGTGTGTTAGAAATCTAACGCAGAATTCACACTCGAATGTTTTTTTATTTTTTCATTTAACGTATTTTTTTTGTATCCATTATAAAAAATAAATCGTTATTCAACGTATTTTTGTATCAATTATAAAAAAATAAATCGTTATGAAAAAAAATATATGTTCGTAAGAAAAAAAATATTTATGATCGTAGTAAAAATAGTGTACAAAACTTGCAGGAAAGTGTCTATCGCACTCGCGGTATTGCCTGCACTCGGCTAACGCCTCGTGCGCAACTTTCCCGCTTGTGCGTTATTTATCACTTTTCGTACTCGTTATGTAATATACTAGTATATCACACGTGTGTTATTACGCTATCTTGTCCCACTCGCCCTACGGGTTTTTGGTGTAAATATACTCAGTGACATTAGAAGTGTTACACCCAGAAAAAATGTTTTTTCGAATTTGATTTTTTGGCAATATGGAAGAATGAATCGATGAGATTTGCAAGAAATTTTATTAACATTAACTTGAAAAAAAAATCAATAGTGTGTTTGGCGACCTTGTAACTCAATACACTCCTGTACACGTTTAGGCATCGACAAAATGAGATGATCGATGTCTGCTTGTGGCATCTCGTTCCAAGCAACTCGAACCTCATGGATTAACCGTGCCAGAGTCTGTGGAGGACGGTGCAAAGTGGTCAATCTTCTCCCTATCATATCCCACACATGCTCGATGGGATTTAAATCCGGTGACCGGGGTGGCCACGGCAAAACATTAACAGCATATTCTTGGAGGAAGTCCATAGTGTGACGAGCAATATGCGGACGTGCATTATCTTGCTAAAAAAGGACATGTTGACGGCCATCTAGATAAGGCAGTAAAGTGGTTCGTAGGACGTCATCAACATAACGCAAAGCTGTCATACTGCCTCGAATAAACACAAGAGGTGATCGGCTTCCATAGGCAATAGCCCCCCAAACCATTACTCCAACAGTCCTGTGCACATGCCTCTCAACAGCAAATGGAATATCACGTCGCTCTCCACGACGGCGTCTTACCCTCTGACGGCCATTATGCATGCCTAGACAGAATCGCGATTCGTAACTGAATATCACATTATGCCATTCTGCCACCCAGACCTGGCGTTCTCTGCACCAGGCCAAACATTGACGACGGTGTTCCATAGTTAAAGAAGCACTAACCGTGGACGGTAAGAAAAAAGTCCAAAAGATCGAATGCGGCGATATAACGTTCGCATACTAACTAGTCGACCTTCTTCTTCAAACCATTGGTCACCGAGTTGTCGGGTAGTAGCAAATCGGTCTAGAAGAGCTAGTTGTCTGAAGCGCCTGTCTTGGCGCTCTGTGGTACGCCTCGGTTGACCTGATGGTCTGTTGCGTGTTCGTCTACCTTCTTCTGTCCACACACGACACACACGCATTACCGTCATTGCAGTAGAATTAACACGGCGGGCAATTTCGCGATATGACAAACCAACTTCTCGAAAGGCCACAATTCTACCTCTATCGAAATCGCTTAGATGGTGATATCGTTGATGCCTTCGGACTGGAGGCATTTTGTTACATTTAAAACAAGTAGTCGGAGACACAAAAACTGCAAGAATTTCTACTTATCAGCTCTGATAGGCTTTTTTCTTAACAAAAACTAAGAGGTTAAAACTTTTTTTGCAAGAACTGTCAAAGATAAACCGATGCAATGGTAACTATAATTAGCTTTAAATTTACGCAATCTGTTGTTCTCTCATGTTCTCCTGTGACTTATTTGTATTATTTATTTATTTCTCATTTATTTCATGTTTGTTGCAGGTGGCCGTAAAGATAATCGATGTCAGAGAAATAAAAGAAAAATACGTCGTAAAAAACTTGCACAGAGAGGCCCGTATAATGTCGACATTGAATCACCCCTGTATAGCGTCTCTTTTCCAGACTATGCAGGTAGGCAATATGATAAGAAACAAAAATGACTGTTCAAAATTTATCAAACGCATTGAACAGTTTACGAGATCAGCCCCAAGAATCGTGTTGTCTAGGCGACCCTATTTGCTTTCAGCATTACTAGAGAAACAATACCCCAAGCGGTAACACATTAAAGTTTATAGTTGCAACAGAAGCATTTATCCCTTATAATTAGCTATGCATCATAACAGTGCGTGCGGTCTGTGCCCTGTGCTCCATTTACATTACATTATTGATATCGGGTACATCAATTATTATTATGTGTGGATCTTGGTACAATAAGTTTCATCATTCAAAACATCAGGTGTGTTGTTTATCTATCCCTTTCGCCAAATATTCGATCCTGAAACTTTGGCAAGTGGAGGTGGAGATTTGTGGCTAAATAAATTTTATGTTAGTCTGGAAGAAATTTGTTATGGTTTTATTTTCCAATTAAATGAAACATATTTTGCTTGACTTTGTGAGTGCCAATGCTTCAAAGCATTATCGGAATCGGTTTCTAATAAAAAACTAAATATAACAGCAGTGACCATTAACACTGCAATAAGGCAGTTTGTCGTAAAGGAAGATCAAAGTGCTGAGTATTAAATGGCAGTTGCTTGTAATACGGTACTACACATTTAATAATCTTTACCAGTTTTATTTATTAATTAACTTAATTAACATAGAGGGCGTATCAGCGAGTTGATAAAGTCCATTTTTAATCTTTAAATTGAAAAATATATACATATATATATCGGAAATTGATGGATACTAATCTAGTGCATCGCTGGAAATTATTTTCAATATACAGCGTGTCCCATAAACGATGGGACTGGATAAAACTTATGTTTTTTTCTATGAAACACCATATGTTTCTTGGCATATTTCGATGTCCTTAGCTTTTTATTACAATGTTTTTAAGCTAAACTTTTATTGGTCGAAATCAGTTGATTTTTTTTTGACTAAAACTTCTACATTTTTTTTTATCTTCAAAAATGCAAGACATTAAAAAACTGTCATTACTTTTAAGTTTGTACTTTCTTTCTTGCAGCAGTAAAAAATTTTCTTTCTAACTGTTTTAGTTTTTGTGTAATAAATTTAAAAAAATGCTTTTGTCAAAAAAACAACTTATTTTAAAAACTAAGCAAAATTGACCAATAAATGTTTAGCTTAAAAACATTCTAATAAAAGGCTACATCCAGAAATAACAAGGTTCATTTTAAAAAACACAATTTTGTATTGTAACATAGGAATTTTTGGACCACGCTGTATAAATGAAAATAATTTTAGGCGATGTACTAGATTAGTATCTATCAATTTTCAATACAGGGTGCACCAGAACTCGCGCTCCAGAGAAAAATGCCATATAAGGTAAGATAACAGGAACATGGAAAAAATGATAAAAAAAAATTATCTATAAAAATTTCGAAGTTATGAGGGTTTAAATTTTGCACTTTGACTCTATTTATTTCAAGGAAGCTGTATACTAAATTGTAACTCTGTATAATTTTATCTGTGGCTTTTATTGGCAAAATTTTTGTACTTTTATTAAATAATCGTAAAAAAAAACATATACAAGATCATCAGTATCATTAAATAGATATAAAAAAATGTCAAATGTCAAAAAATATATGTCAAAATTTTTTGAGAGATAGAATTTTTTAAACATTTTTTTCATGTTCTTGGTATCTTATCTTACTTGAAATTTTTCTCTGGGGCGCGACTTCTGGCGCGCCCTGTATACTTTTATTTAAAATTTTAACATTAAAAGGTCGATATAATAGACTTTACCAATTTGCTGGGACACGATGTATACTAAGTGACATAGAAAACAGAACACCCAGTATTTCTGAACACATCGCAATAATTTTTTGTACGCTTGTTTGTTTTAGTCACGACAAGAAACGATTAAATTTGTAGTCAAATCTGTACATTGGTTCTTGTGTTATAACATTCTATAAGGAAAGTATTGTAATCGGCTGAAATTTGACCTACCCAGATTTTTACATTTCTGGGCGAATTATAGATTCAAAACACCAAAAAAGTTGGTTTGGTGTGTGTGTGTATCTCGAGAACGATAAGAGCTATAAACTTGAAATTTGGTACGGAAGTTACTTGTAGCAAGGGGACGTAGCACGAAACAATTGGTAAAAATCGGTCGCACCGTTCGGCCGCAAAGACCAAAAATCAAATTATACGGTTGAAGATACTTTAAATAAATTCATGGAGATAAAAATTATTTAGAATCGTGAAATATACTTTATTAAAATGTGATAAAATAAAAATAATAATGAGTACCATTTAGGAGTCACCTAAAACCTTTTGCGTACGTGGTGCATCCAAGATTTTTTTGTTAAAGCTCCCAAAACACGAATTCACACCTCTTATTAATAAAAAAAATTTCGCCACCATAGTAACCAATTTAATGTTTTAGTCCACAAAAACTGTTTTTGAGGACTGAGTCCCCTAAAATAAACATTTTGCGTACTATTTTATTGAGTCCGGAAAAGACTAATTTTGCGGACTCAAATGAGTCCGCAAAATAGCTGTTTTTGGGAGCGTATACAAAAAAATTCTTACCAGTAGAGATAGAACACGAGTTTTCATTTAAATTAACATCATTTTATAGGTTATTTATGAATAACCCTACATGTAGCCATCATTTAGGTACATTTAGCGAATAAGCCTGAACCACTCTAATTATCGCGATCCGATCTCGGAATCGTCGTCCTCATCTCGTTCAATCAAGTATTTACGACATTTACGGCTATCGTCACTGATTGTGACAGTTGCATCTGAGTCTCTTCAAGTTTTATTTAAATGTATGGGACAAGGTTAGAGCCGCAAGGGATACGAGCTGAAAGCAGCGATCGCTTTTATGAGGGGATTAATCAAATCGAGTCGCAGGCTCGGCTGTCACACGGCATGGCATGTAAGGCGATCCTAGGCACCCCCGGGACCCGATGTAATCGCATACCCGTGATGGAACTCATCAGCAGAGTGTGCGGGGACTCGTAAGCCGTCTCTCTTCTACGTTTTGCCTTTCTCCTTGTTGCTAAAGAGATACGCATCGTGCGTTTTAATTCTGCACTTTCAATTTCTCTTTCGTCTTCTTAGCGGAGGCTCCCCCAAGCTTATTCCCGATACGTGTTCTGCAAGCAACAGCCCATATGCAAAACGAAAAAGATTATTATCTACCGCTATATACATGGATATTTTTCCTGATTGAGGACTGCCGTCTGTAGCTTAATTTCAGCGGCTGACGACAGCCTTCAGGGAATACGAGTGTGAAATATGTTGATTCGAACATCGAATCCAATAAATTTATTGCCATATGGGCAAGAAGGGGTGATGTACTATCAATTTCAGAACCATTTACTAAGGACCTTACAATAAAAGTCTAAGAGACAACATTTAATATCATTTGATGCCTACCATTTTAAATGTTACTCTTTTTGCTGAAATAATAGTCCACAAGCTATTAATTTTTTTTTTATATTCCTATTCCCTAGTCATCAACATTGATAGAATTATTTATTTATGATTTTAAGTAAAAATCGTATATTACGAGTATGTATAGAGGTTTTCTCATGACTCACAAAATATCTTAGAAAAACATTCGCGTTTCACATCTTTTTCAGTGATAAAAATCGTTTGGATTCTACCGTGCGATCATTTAAATAATAAATTAGAGCAAGCTGTGGATTTTGAATCAGGTTGGCACTACTAATGTTGACACTTTGATTTGAAATTTGAATTGTCAAAGTGGCATTTCAAAATGTTTCAATTAGAGCATAAAATTTTTCTTACTGAGAGTTATTTGAAACACGCCGAACGGCAACAGAATGGTGAATGGATGTATTCTGTAGATCATTGCCTTAATGATTTTCAAAATGCTTTCCCCAATTTTCCTATGGATTATCAAAAATTGGTCCATCAAATTTATTTATGTGTCGCAAAATTTCGTTTTGTTGGGACTGTTGGACGAAAAACCGGTAGCGGAGCGCCCAAAAAAAGAACTCCTGAGATTGTGGAAGATGTTGCAGCAAGAATGGAACAGTCTCCTAAAAAATCTCTCCGTAGATTAGCTCAAGAGATGGACCTCTCATATGGAACTTGTCAAAAAATATTGAAAAAAGATTTAAATCTTCATCCCTATAAAATTACTGTCGTCCAAGAGCTGTTGCCCCGAGATTTTCCTGAGAGAATAGGATACTGTCAGTGGTTTTTAAATCATCTAAACAACAACAATATCTTAGATTTAACCTTCTTTTCCGACGAAGGATGGTTCCACCTGTCTGGATATGTAAATAAACAAAATATGCGAATTTGGTCTACAGTGAATCCTCATGAGTTTGTTCAATCGCCTCTCCATCCACAGAAAATTGGTGTTTGGCTAGCGGTCTCTCGAAGACGCATATTTGGACCTGTCTTTTTTGAAGGAACGGTCAACGCCGAGAGATATCGAAATAATTTACTCGAACCTTTTTTCCAAAATCTTAATGATGACGAAATTCGACATGGGTACTTCCAACAGGACAATGCAACAGCTCACAAGACAAGGGAAACTATGGGTCGAATTCACGAGTTTTATGATGATCGAGTTATTCAATTTCCGGCTCGAAGTCCGGACCTGACAATTCTAGATTATTTCATTTTCCCATATCTCAAAAACACCGTTTTTAAAAATAACCCGCACAACCTTGAAGAACTGCAAGAGGCAATTTCTAATACATGTAACGCTGTAACCCCTGAGATATTGGAAAATGCATTTGAAAATATGAAACGGAGGGTTAACAATTGTATTGCAGCTGGGGGGGAACACTTTGAACATTTTATGTAATTCGCAATAAAAACGCATTCGTTTCAGTGTTTTCATTTCCTTTAAATTAAAACGATTGAATATCAGATCCACAAACGTCACAAAGTTAACCACAACCTCAAATTTATTCAATCAGTCAATTGGCATTCTGGGCAATCGTATAAAAAAAAACCCGCCTGCTTTAATTTATTTTTTAAATGATCTCATGGTACTAATAAAGAGACGTCCAACACGGGTAACCATGGACACACCCATTTTGACACTTTGTTAGAATTACCACTACAAAAAATTATTTATTTTGCATAATAAATAAGTATTATTTTGTGCTCAATGTTTAAGAGTGCTTTTATCAACTAATTTCTGTAGATAAAGTAGTCTTCTATCGTCTAGTGAAATAAAGTAATTTTTATCTACTGTTTATATTCCAAGAAATTCTGGTAGGTGAGTAGAAAATAAAACGAAATATTATACACGACGATAAAGATTGTTTAACTACTTGTGAAAAAAGTCCAGTTGTGACTTCGTCACTCGTAAACTTAACCTTTTCACTCGTAAATAAAAAAATTCTTTATCGTCTTGTATAATAAATAACTATTATATTACAAAAAATTTGTTCAATTGTTCGGAAGGAGATTAAGCGATCCAATTTTAAAATCTTTCAAACAAACTAATTTGAAAATTTTTTTTTCTTTTCACTTACAACTCTTAAACAGACTTGACATCAGATTTTTTTTTAAATGCAATTTAAAAGATAACCAGCCGAATTGTAAAGGCTCTTGGATCTTGTCAAGTGAAGTGTTGCTTTGAAGCTTTATTATTTTTTTACAGAAATACTAATGTTTAAGTGAGAGATTGTAAGAACCAAAATGAAAAATTTTCATTCAGTTGTTGTTCATTTAATTTGATGCATATTTGACTGCATATCTGGGCAGTTTTTAAGTGCATATTTTCCAGTCACTAGTCATTAAGTTGATTACGATCAAACGTTCGATTAACTGATCACGTGTCCAAATATAGGTTATATTTTAAATAGTTTATATTTATTTATATTTATTATATTTTTAATAGTTTATATTTTAAATGGTTATATATTAAATGCTCAAATTTACGGTCGAATTAAATTACAAGTGATTAATTTTTAATTCGCTTTCTATGAACTGGTTCTCAGAGTAATAAATAAATCATTTCAATGACAAATAAATAGTTTTCGTTCTTTTTTAAGAAAGAATTAACATTTAACAAAAATAATCTATAAAATGTCAGAAATTATACCAACAATTTACCCGAGAATTTACTCTTCCAAAGTCCTATTCAATATCAACTTTTATAAATGAACGGGAAGTAGGATTTTCAAAACGTAATAGTCTGTCCGATTTAATAAACAATTGTCATTGTCAAAATTAGAATATTTGTTGTATGGCTTTAATTAGAGAAATTTATGAACTAGGTGTATTGATCACCTCAAATCTGGGTACGTCATGAAGATCTAACTTCTCAATTTTCCCTTTTAAAGCGATATGAACTACTTTTATACCCGATTTTGACACTGACAATTGTTTATTAAAAAAAAAGAATAATAATCAAGTTTTTGACAATTCCCTATGCGATTTTGACAACATAAAAACGTATGGAACTAAAGTTTTGGGAAGTTTTTTAGATGTTTTTTTCAAAACTAAGCGAAAAAATTTTACATGTTCAAAATCAAGAGAAAAATGAACTTTATTTTCACTGAGTCAGAATAATGAAGTTTTAATTTCAGATTTGCTTATTTCAGGTCAAGCAAAAATGTTTTTTCTTTGCAGTTTTAGCGTAAAATCAAAGATATTTTTTTTCTATTTCGGTGTCACAATGAGCATTTTGTGACACTGTTTTTTTGCCAAATTTTATGTAATACTTTGGACATCACTGTCATTTTTAGGCGATGCAACCCAAAAAACAAATTTCATTTACGCCTTTGATCCAATTTAAATTAGGATTTGCAAGTTGAATCCAAGTTATGTCACTCTGACATCAGCGCAGAGAACGATCATTAGTGTCATTCAGTTCTCGCGAAATGATAGAGAAATTAGAAGTTTTTTCGGTGTAAACTTAATACAAAATGTATGAAAGAATGAAACGTTAAAGGTAGGCAAACAGTTTTTTATAAATCATAAATTGCTCTAATGTCAAAGCTTGACAAAGCTCTGCCAGAGCAACATAAGATAACATTGATTGCAACTGCAAATCATAATTAAAATTAGGTCAACACGTAAATAAAATTTGTTTTTTGGGTTGCATCGCCAAAACTATCTTATCTGAATTCCCTGTATATGTCACGGCAGCAAAGTAAATTTCCTCCCTTGTGTAATTCTGTCTTGCATAGGCACTATGCGATTACGAACAAGGGGGCTTTCATAGCAGTAATTGTTTTTTATTTTGTATAATTTTGACACAAATTTATTTAAAAAAAAAACAAAAAATTATCGTGAGGTCTGTGACAATTGCCTCTCGCACCCCCCGCGAGCCCCACAAGAGTAAATTTCCTATCTAGAAAGCTAAAAAGCGAATCTGATAGGATTTGCAAACTTTTCCTGCAGGAGGAAATTGTACACTTTGCCCCAGTGATATATTATAAATAGCTATTATCGTATTTTGTAGTAGCTAATAAATTTTATTCTAAAATCTGAAAATCAGAAACTCTTCACTATTGTATATTTTCAGATTCGAGTAAATGTTTTTTTTTATTTTCTCTATTTCAGTTGGCTGATAATGTTTACTATCTGGTTACCGAGCTTGTTTCCGGAGGTGATCTTTGTTCTTTCATCATTGGACAACGATATGGGAAGCTGGAAGAACGCCCAGCAAGAGTCTATGCAAGACAATTCGCTTCTGCTTTGGCTCATATGCACAGTTATGGAATTGTCCACAGGTAAGTAAACCTTATATATTTTTTAAATTATTTGTTTGTAGTCTTTGCGTCCTATTAAATTTTATTATTTTAATATTACAGAAACAATATTTTTAAAGACATTTGACTTCATGTAGGTACTTATCCTTCTTTTGAATCGAATAAAAGCGTAGAAGAGTTATAAACTTGGGCGTTTTATATCCACTATCATGTAATAAAAGTTTTCTTATAATAAAACCAAAAGTCAATTAAAACATGTCTCCGTTTAATATGACATTAAGATTCTACGATTTAATAAATTTATATTTACTTAATAAATAAAACTCCGAGAAAAGTGCAAAGCCTTTCTTTTTAGAAACTGACAAAGGTCAGATCTTTTCTGTTTCAATTCCATTATTGCACTCTGACGAGATGTACTTGAACGAGAAAGCCGAACATAAATAACGTCGATTGCATCAATTTTGTATTGAATTTTAGTGTGGCATTTAAATGCACAATGTAGCTGTTCGCATTCGAAGCGTCTTATTTATGTGAGCTTAAATCCGAGCATTTTAAGGACAGGGAGATGTAGCAAGCTTCTGAATTCACGCCGAAAGTTAAGTGCACCGATTGGAAACAATAAATACAGGGTGTTCCATTTTTATTGATACAAATTTAAACAGGTGATAGAATATTCAATTTTAAGATAAAAGTTTCCTATGAACATATATTAAAAATACTAAGTAAGGGAAGTACACTTCCTGAAAGGGGTCCGTGTTTTAATAGATTTTGTCCAATATTTCAGAAACCATTTTAAATAAAGTTGCAAAATTTGGTACAATTGATTTGATTTTTTACAAAAGAGAGGTCTCTCTCGTTTTTTCGATACAACTTACCCTTGTTGAGTAAAATCTTTTTAATATTTATTTTGTTGTTTTTTACCAAAAAAAAAAAATGGTCAAATTTGGTCGACAATCATACTATTTTTGCTTTTTTAAACGTTTTAGCATATTTTTAAGATAAAACTCAAATTTTGAATATCGAGACAAGACAAAAAAAATTACAAAATTAAATCAGTTATTTTTCACTTTCTCAAGCGTTTAAGAAAGTTTTGTCCAAAGCAGTCGAAAAATCGATAAAAATTATGCTATTTTTGTTTTTTTTTTAAGTAGTAAAATACATTTTTGAGCTAACAAACTGAGTTTTTTCGCTAAAACAGACCAAATTAGATCGAGCTTGATAATATTTTTACCGTTTAAATTATTTTTGTAGTATAAAATTTTGCTCAAAAACGTCCAAAAATTACCAAATTAGATCGAAAATTATGCTATTTTTGACATTTTCGAGAGCATGTTTTTGAGCGACATTTTGCTCAAGCAAGTCGAGAAATCTCCTAATTAGATAGAAAATGGTGTTTCTTGCCTATTTTTGAATAAAAATCTTAATTGTTTTTGATGATGAAAACTAGCCCAAAAATTAATTAGGCAAAAAATTATATTAATTCCATCTATTTTCAAGCGAATAAAAACGTTTTCGAGCCAAAACTGATTTTTTTCACAAAATTTTGTTAAAATAGCTAAATTAGGGGTTGAAAACGAAATTATTTTTCTTGTTCAAGTAAAATTTCACCCATATGGACCAAAAAATTAGTAAACTAGGGTGTAGCTCCTTTACAAAACATTTTTTCATACATGTTTATAGGAAACTTGTGTCTTAAAATTAAATATTCTTTTACCTGTTCAAATTTGTAACAATAAAAACGGAACACCCTGTATAACAGAAGTGGGCTAGTCACCCAAAACGTGTCTGCATGCCTCCTTCGTTTCACCAACTACATATTTTTATGCACAAGCTCAAACTTTCACGCTTTTTGGTCGTCTTTTATGCTTGTGAAGCATGACCACGAGGGGAATTAAATTTTAAAACAATGTTTAGTTTTTCACAAGTGTTCTTATAATTCCAGTGAAATTATTTATTGATTTTGTTGGCGCTGGAGTATTTTTTCGTGCGGGGAATATTGGGCGATTGTAAGTCAGACTGTGAGTAAAAAGTTTTGTTTGTATTTAGAGCAGAAGTTTTAATAGCTTGTTCATTTTAATAAAGGACCAGATCTGAATTTCAATTTGGTGGTAGTTTTGTTCACTCAGCTTATAGATTTGGCTTATTCTAAAAATCCGGAAATGTTCCCTAATGCGGCCTAAAACTCGAATAAATATTAGGCAAATCTGCTTATTTTTACGCAGCTCACGCACTTGTCTTGTAAAAAAGTAAGGAAAAATGTATGTAGTCGCATACGTAGTTTGAAATAATTACATGAATGTGATCAATAAGTAAATTACATTTTCTGGAAAAGCGTTTGTCATAATAAACGTCGTGGGGGTTTCCAATATCCGCAAAATTTTCCAGCGTTAAATTTTTTGATGTTATCGAATTGTGGACAGCACTGGTTATGCTCTCCAGAACCAATATGAACTTGTATTAGGTTAAAATGCATCATAAACAAAGTAAAAACTAATATTGGAGTGCAGCTGGTGCAGAGTTTGTGCACTCCGAAAGTTGGTAAAATATACTAGAGTACAAGTGGAGGAGATATACTTTCTAGCTTTAAAGTACCACATTGAAACGTGTACTTAAACTTCGGCAAGTGTTGTAAAGTTACAAACTTGCGGAAGCTTATACTTCTTGATTTTCTAGTCATTCGTCGAAATATTCAATGTGAAAAGTTAGCTATTTTAGAAAATAATTAACACTTTTAATAGAAAAACTATACACAAAAAATAGAGGTAACGTCTCACGTTTCATGTAACTTTGTGTTACATTTCCAGAACGCGGTCTTTAATAACGTGTTATTGCAAAACATTAATTTTTTTACCGATACAGATACAGAAAATATATACCATAGTATAATATTACATAAAATAAAACATGCACTATTACCCTGTAATTGTAATACTTTATTCATTAAATAATTGCAAGTCGTTTAGCTAGGTAGAGGTATGAATTTTTTATTGTGTATGTTCGATACGTCTCGGTTTCCGTGACCTATAGTAATAAATTTTATGTTGTAGCTATATATTTATCATAAGTTTGGTTTTGATTAGAAGAATTAAACTCTACAAGTTTCACACTTAAGAGAATAATTAGTTTTTTTTAAGTTCCTATAAAAGCATAAATAAAATTTCTTGAAAAGTAATTACCCCACATACAAATCAACAGACACCGTTATAACATTTGATCTGCCCTACCAACATAAAAAACCAATCACAGTTAAAATCTGATTTAATATGCGAATAATTACTTTTATTTTGTACTCAATGTTAAAGAGTGCTTTTATCAACTAACAACAGTAGATAAATTAGTCTTGTATCCTCTAGTGAAATAAAGTAGTTTTTTCTACTGTTTATATTTTATCAACTAATTTCAGTAGAGAAAGTAGTCTTTTATCTTCTAGTGAAATAAAATAATTTTTATCTACTGTTTATATTCAAGAAATTCTGGTAGGTGAGTACAAAATAAAACGTATAAACACGACGATAAAGATTGTTTATATACTCGCGAAAAAAGTCCACTCGTGAATTCGTCACTCGTAAACTTAACCTTTTCACTCGTAGATAACCAATTTCTTTATCGTCTTGTATAATAAATAACTATTATATTACAAAAAATTTGTTCAAGTTTAAAATTGTTCGGAAGGAGATTAAGCGATCCAATTTTAAAATCTTTCAAAAAAACTTATTTTTCACTTACAACTCTTAAACACACTTGACATCGGATTTTTTTTAAATGCTCTTTAAAAGATAACCAGCCGAATTGTAAAGGCTCTTGGATCTTGTCACGTGAAGTGTTGCTTTTAAGCTTTATTATTTTTTATAGAAATACTAATGTTTAAGTGAGAAGTAAGAACCAAAATGAAAAATCTTCATTCAGTTGTTGTTCATTTAATTTGATGCATATTTGACTGCATATCTGGGCAGTTTTTTAGTGCATATTTTCCAGTCACTAGTCATTAAGTTGATTACGATCAAACGTTCGATTAACTGATCACGTGTCCAAATATAACCTATTAAATGCTCAAATTTACGGTCGAATTAAATTACAAGTGATTAATTTTTAATTCGCTTTCTATGAACTGGCCCTCAGAGTAATAAATCAATCATTTCAATGACAAAGAAATAGTTTTCGTTCTTTTTTAATAAAGAATTAACATTTAACAAAAATAATCAATAAAATGTCACAAATTATACCAACAATTTACCCTTCCAAATTCCTATTCAATATCAACTTTTATAAATGAACAAATGAACGAGAAGTAAGATTTTCAAAACGTAATTTACGATTCGTAGAAACAGTGATACCTAAATAAAAGTGTTGAAAAGCAATTAATGTTCAACTATAATGAGAGCAACAAACCATTGCCAATTTTTTTGTTTTGACGATAATACTGATTTCAATAATTGTCAAAGTTACATTTTTGTCAAAAAAATAAAACCGCCATTGTGATGAAACTTAGAAAGCAGAGAAAAATCCTAAAATCATGAGAAAATTTACTTTTTCGTGTATTTGATAGAAATATAGTATGTATATTGTTCAATTCAAAATCGTAAAGAAAAGTGGGACTTTGATCGTTAACAACACTACACACATTTCTTCACGATTTTGGATACTTAGCGACCATTAAATAAAGCAACAATTAAACTTTATACATTTTAATTATGAATATTAATAGAAAATGTACTAGTTACGAGTATTTACATTCGTGTGCGGTAACTTACATTTTACAGTGCGAAATGAATTTGAAGCACGACGCGCAGCGGAGTGCTTTAATAATTGAGCACTGTAAAATGGTTAACGCACAAGATTTGTATTAAGCTTTTTGGCCGACGTTTAAACAAAAATCCAAAATACAAAATCCAGAATTAATACAAATAAATACGTTTGACAATAAATATCTCGGTGGCTATGCACTCTAATGTCAAACAATTAAAAAAGACGCAAAAACGTCTCAGACACAAAGTTTTGTTATCGTTGTCTTGTTGGTGAAT